AAAGAAACTGAAGGTACGCTCTTTCACCTTTGGGGTGGACATGCCCGAAGGATTAAGGCTTTCTGTGAGATGATCTACTGAAACAGGCTAGTATATAAACATACCTTTCTGAAGAAACTCAGAGGCCTTTCCCCCGGGTATGGTCGCCAACAGCCAAAGAAGGACAGAACTTTCTTTATGTATGCCAACAGCAGCAAGAATACTATTGCAAAAGGGCTGAAGACACAAGATTTACCCACTTTGGAAGAATGGCAAATCTATAATGAAATGAAAAAGGTATATAAATATACCTTTCTGAAGAAACCAGAGGCCTTTCTCCTGGGCATGGTCGGCCAATTGGTGCCAAAGAAGGACAGAACTTTCTTTATGTATGCCACAACAGCAGCAAGAATACTTATTGCAAAGTATTGGAAGACACAAGATTTACCCACTTTGGAAGAATGGCAGATGAAGGTGATGGACTATATGGAACTGGCAGAAATGACTGGCAGAATCCGAGTACAGGGAGAAGAGTCGGTGGAAGAAGATTGGAAGAAATTTAAAGACTATTTACAGAAATACTGCAAAATTAATGAATGTTAGAATGATGTCAGAATGAAGTTAAGTGGTTTTAGTAGCAATGTTATAAAGGTGTATGTAAAAATGGATTGTTAACAGGTGAGAATCCAAAGTTATAATATATTAAGTTAAAGGATTAAGACAAAAACAAAGAGGGAAAGGAATTGCTGAATTAACTAATTGAACTGGAATACAAAAAAGGGAGGTGTGAGGAGGTCAGGGAAGTAAGGAAATGAAATGTAAGGCATGGAATGATTGATTTGTTTTTAAGTGTTTTTTATTTTTTTCTGTATTTTGTATTTTTTCTTTACTTTTTTTTCTTTTTTCTCTTTTTTATTATCTATGTAATCTTTTTTTTTTTGAAACCTTAATAAATATCATTTAAAAAAAATCATTTTTGATCAGTTTTGTTCAAGTTTTCACATTCTACAGTACTAAACATTTCTCAAATTTGCAATATCCAACTTAACAAAAACAGCATTTGAAGACACTGCTTAAAAACAGTTGCCATCTAGCTAAAGCACATTGCTATATTTCTGCAGTTTACAAGGGTGTTTAGTCATTAAATGAATACATAGAGAGTGAGAGGGTGTGTGTGTGTTTTGTATCTGTAGGCAGCTCCTGGTGAGCAGACACTGTTGTTACTTGCATTGTTTAGACACAGGTTGCTGTTTTTCAGAAACAGAGAAAGGGTACAGTATATTGAAAAACATCTTATTTTACTTGAAGTTGAGTGGGAAACAAACACACACCCCCAAAAAAATCAGGAGCAGGCAACATATTTAGTATCAATGGTCCAATTAAAGTTCATTATAAGCCCAGAGTCTGCAGGTATCGGCACATTCCTACAAATGGATACTTGGAAGTACCGTAAGTCCTGTTGAGTTCAATGAGACTTACCTCCAAGTGAAATTACATAGAATTATAGCCTAATTTCTATAGCAGTTCAGAAGTACACACACACACACACACACACACACACACCTGCTTACAGATTATTGGACAGGTGACTTTTCTACAATATTACATAATTCATTCTCTCAGGGCACCAAACCTAGACGCTATCACAGGGAGGCATTTTCAGCAGTTTGTTTGTGTTTCCTTTCATTAAGGTTCAGCAAAATTTGAAATAGAGGGTAAAATCCAACAGCATCCATTTGCCAGTGGAAACGACACTGCTGGTGGAATGATTTTTCCTTCCCCCCACAGCTCCTGGCATGCCCAAAAGATCTACTCTGGAGCAGATGAGTGGGGGACTGCCTTCATGCAATGGTGGATGTTGCTCAGAACTTAGCATGCAGGGCAATGGTAGACAGAAGAACCAAGAATCAGGTGGGACTGAAAAATATTGGGGCTGGGTGAGGAATTAATATCTTTATTAGGCACAGTGCTTTAGTGTTTTCAAAGTGTATGACATACATAAAAACATTCAGTAGTCCTCACCCCACCTCTCCCTTAGGAAATTAGATTAGCCTTGCTACTTCATTGGGGATTTTGCTGGTGTGAGATCTGAATGCTGCACATACTCTTTTCTATTACACTATGCCAGTTCTCTGACCAGAAAATTAATGTATTTTTGAACTATTTTAATTAGTTATTTAATAGTTAACATTTCATTTGATATAAATATCAAAGTGAGAAGAAATCAACCAAACAAGTACCGAATACATGCATACTGCAAACCTCAAATATTTTTAAAGAGGTTGGCCCTTGAAAAAACATTATGTCACTAGTTTAAAATCTTACAACTAACACAATAAATTTTGGCTTCTCTTTATTCCAGTATTAATCATTTAACAGTTTTCTCTTACATGTCTCATCTCTCATGCCAGACCTATCAAGGAAAATAAAAACGGGTCATTTGAAAAAGAACACTGAGTTCTGATTTAAATCAGATATATATTTTTTAAACTATAGTGAATTTGTTTTAAAATAGCTAAGTTTGAAATGAAGTGTTAATTTAATATAAACACATTAAAACCTACACTTAACCTCTATCAACTTTTAATCTTCAAGCTATCAAAACAAATTAGAAAAATAGTGGGGAAAATACGTACTTTTTGAGGTCATTATAAATGGGGAAAAGGAGGCATTACTGATACTGAGGCTTGGTGATGAGACCAGAAATTAGCAAGCAACCACCAATGTTTTTGTGGGTGGGAAACTAGTATTTTAGTTTAGTGATTTTGGTTTAAAAATCAGTTTACCTGGGAAGTATGAATCCAAAAGCTAAAAATGAAAGCAGGGCATTTGGTTTCGAACAGCACCCAGAGGCCTACACAAAAATATTGGGGTAGGAGATGGCATATGATGAAAATACAATACATACAAATAATATATACTTTAAATGGTTTAGAACTAATCCAAATCCTGTCTTTTATTTTGTTTATAGGATTATGGAGCTAAAACTACTTGAAGCTTAGCATCCAGTAGTGAAAAGGTGGCAAAAGAATAACATGTCAATATGATATGGTTCACATAATTTTCACCTCTGGCTCATGAGCTCAACATCTCAAGGGCTTCATGTGACACTTAACCAGAAAGAAATGAGATAGGAGCTTGAGGGGTGGTATTTTTCAGGTAGCTTACTAAAGTTAAAGTGCATGGGTTATATTATATCCTATAGTGGTTTTGTGGTAACTAAAAGCACTTTGACTTGTACAAGACAGGGCACTTGATTTTCCCCTACAATGATTTGCACTGCCCAAATTGCTCCTGAAGGCTGCATGACTCTCTGGAACAGTGTGACATCGATATCATCATCATCATCATCATCATCATCATCATCCTGCCTTTCACCCAAAGATCCCAAGGTGGTTCACAATAGAAAATGGGTGCATATAGGTAGGGGAGATTAGTGAAAACCAGATGGTCTGTCTTGCGTACACAAAAGTGCTTTCTGCTAGTACAAAACCACCATCAGAAACAGCCCCAAAGATTCCTCTCTCACTAAAAGGTATTAGTATAGCAAAGCTAGGAAGATGGCATTTTGTCCCATTTTTACTGCTGTGAATAGTCATTCATCTGTTCTTGCATACAGTTTAGCACTGCATAAAACTGGGAGGCCCACATGGGAGGCAACTGGTTCATCATTCTTGTAACAGACAAAAATGTTTTTGTTTTACTGGGCATTTTGGAACCACCAATGATTGGATGTTTTTCTGATTATGTTTATAAATATTTTTATGTCTTTTTTACTGTATTACAGCATTTTGTTTCTGTAAATTATTCCTGTAAATTGCTGTGGGACATTCTGTTGTGGGAAGTGAAGTATAAATTCAAAAACTAACTACCGTATATACTCGAGTATAAGCCAACCCGAATATAAGCCGAGGCACCTAATTTTAGCACAAAAAACTGGGAAAACTTACTGACTCGAGTAAAACGCCAGTTCACCACACCACAAACCTGGTGGTGGTGGCAGCGGCGGTGGAGGAGGAAGCAGCAGCCAGAAAGGGCTCCTTTCGGGCCGCTCGTCCCGCCGCCGCCTCTGCCACTCGCAAGAGCAGGCATAGGAGCCATGGTTGGGAGAGGAACAGCGCAGCTTAGCGCTTCCCCCAACCGCGGCTCCTGTGCCTGCCCTTGCAAAAGGTGGGTGGCAGCGGCGGAACCAGCAGTGAGAAAGGGCTCCTTTCGGGTTGTTCGTCCCTCCGCCGCCGCTGCCCACCTTACTCAAGTATATGCCATGGGGGGCTTTTTCAGCATAAAAAATGTGCTGAAAAAGACGGTTTATACTCATGTATATACGGTAACTACGGTAACTAACTTTTACCTTTGGCTTTTCATTGCCTTTTGGACCCACTGTTAACAATTCCTCTGTGGGGCTGTGTAAAGAAAACTAAAAATAACACTTTTGAGGCAGTGGGCTCTAATCCATGAAAGCTTATGTCACAATAAATCTAATACTCTCTGTTGCTTTTGTGAGTCAAATATCTTACTCTGGTGAATGCTAAGTTTGCTTCTTGACAAAAGGACAGCCAGATAGATGATCCTGAGTCTTAGCCAATCTTCCCATCTTCTCATTTTGAAGCTACAGTGCCCAAAGAATACTGTTGATGGGCCGGCTTACTTAAATGTACAATCATGATCTACAGCTACAGAATAGATAATTGAAAAAAGTCACCTTGTTGTGATCAGAGCACTGGGTGATAGAAGTCCGGATGACTGGGCGGTGGGACAAATTAGGAGTGTTCAGAGGACTGTTTCACATGGTACATGGCTAAGGCCACCTAATTTCAGCCACATCTACAACCTCTTATGACACATTTGTGAGAAACTTTCCAAAATAATTGCTCTCTGGTCTGCTCTGGGCACTGTAGTTCAAGCTGGAGTTGTTCAATGTGGCCTCTTGCCATATATGCCACTTCAACTTGTATAATCTTCAGAAGCTGACAGTCAGTTTGAAGTGGATACAATTCTGTGGCTCACTAAGGCTGCAATCCTAGGAGATGCGGAAAAATCTGAAGGCAATAAAATTGCTTTGTTCTATACCCGGTCAAGCTCAAGCCTGAATTCCACTGTCTACTTCAGAGATGTGAATTCCTCCCGTTCCATTGACTATTCTTCCACGGCCCAAAGGATTGCAGTCTAAAAGCATTTGATTAAGATTGGTGGAATGTGTGTGTATCGGTAGGGGGGTATTAAATTCTCTATTATGGAAAGATGGCCTAGATTCTACTATATGTAAGCAGTTGCCTCAAATATACAACACACTCAAGTGAACATATTTTGCTGTGGATGAACCCTCCTATTACTGCTTAGACTGAAAATCTTCTAGCTTGAAGAAAAATCACCGAGCATATGACTGCAGAAGAACTCCAGTCACCACAAAATTTCATCCTTCATTCACCCATTTAAATCTGGCTCTCAGTTCTGGCATGCAATGGAGTAGGACCATCTTTATAAAATTATCTGCAGTTGTTCTTCCCTTGTTTTTCAACTTTTATATTACAACTTCAAGAAAATAAATATAACAAAGCTCTGGAAATAAAGGGAAAACTCTCATAAAGATATTAATGGTTCCATTCATACTATTACCATTAGAATATATCAGAATGTGGATCATACACACCAGACCACCTTCCTTCAATTTTCATAGTACCCTCTTCAACAGTTGCCCTTCCCCACAATATCTGCATTTGCTAAAATCATTAAATGCACATTGATCTGTATTTAAAGGGTTAGCTATCAATCCTTAGACTCCACAGAAGTGGTGTTGAAGTAAATAAGCCTGAGACACCTGCAAGATGAATCAAAACATGAAGCTAATGAATAAGTTTTTTTATTGTAATAATGTTGCAATGGTGTTTCAAGGTTTTTCCCATTATTGTGCTATTTCTACCAGTACCTGTGTAAAGGTGTTGCACATAATGTTGCAATGGTGAATTTTGGAGGTACAGTAATTCACATTTAGGAGGATAGAAAAAGGAGTGATTAACCGGCAAAAAAAAAATAAGTCAGTTGACTGTCCCACTATTTTGCCTTTGTTAGTTCAAAACAACATGTGTGTTTTGTGTGCTAGCAACACTGATACTTCTGTAAGAACTCCAGTATGCTTTCACACTGGATGGGGCACCACATTCTGAGATTCCTGCATTGCAGGGGATTGAACTAGATTACCCTTGGGGTCCCTCTTCCAACTCTATAATTTGAATATTCTAGATCTTCCATTTCCTGGCATCCCTTACTTCACCACAACTTTCATATAGCACAGGCATGTCCAAAGTCTGTTTCAGGGGCACAATTTGGCCCACTGGTTGGTTTAATCTGACTCCTGTGGCAGTTTATTTCCTGGGTTAAAATCCTAAAAAAACCCTCAACAACTTCGGGGTAAAATTAAAAAAAGCTCAACAACTTCAATCCTAAAAAAAGCTTACTGGCCCTTTGGTCAGCCTTCACGGCCCTTCACTTCATCAAATCTGGCCCTCTTTGAAAAAAGTTTGGACACCACTGTGATAGCATCAACACAGATTTCTCAGTTTAGTTCCTTTTACATTTTTATTTCTAATGCTGACCTCAATTAGTAAACTTACTTTTACACTGTAAGTTTTAAAATATGTTACATTTATTCACTTTGGCCAGCA